TTGCTTGACATCTTCACTTTTATTTGAAATTTGTTGTAACCTACCGAGAGATTTCAGGTATGGGGAATGAGTCTTGATGTACTCCTCCCTTTGCAATCTTCATGATTTTCAGTATTTTGTTTCCAGCAGCATTCTATCATAGAGTGACCAAAACACAGACCAAGACAAGAAGGCAGGAAAACTGTATGTCTCTGTCTTTCAAAGTTATATTTCCAAAGATATATTTATAAAGAAAATATATAATATTAATAATTATAACTCACAATTACTGATATGTGGACAGGTTCCTCATGAGGCCTCATCGTGTGGTCAAGAGTGAAGATTCTGTACTTCACTAAAAGAACGATAACATAAAAGGAATATAAAATGTCTTTTTTTTAAAGGTTCACCGTTAGGTAAAGTCTGTAGAATTGCTTCATTTATTTTTTTTAACTTTGTTTTTACCTCTGTCTGCTGGGTTATAAATTGGCTGAGCTGTCTGAATGAAGATGTAGCCCCTGTGTTTTGACACCAGAACCCTTGTTAACTTCCTGTTGGGTGTGAAGGATTGGCTCTCTGCCACGAGCATAACGTAAGAAGGAAATTGAGGCAATCTTAACAAAGAATCCATGTTTAGCTGTAAAGACGTAAATTATAAAGTTAGGGTAAAGTGGGTAGTTGCTACTCTGTTCTGTCTAAGCAACTTGAGGCAACTGTTGTTGTGATTTGGTGCTATATAAATAAAATTGAAATGTCTGTATTGTTTACTTTCTGGTGAAGTTTGCATACCTTGAGCTTAACTAGTTCTGTCTTCTCTCTGCATGAAGCATTTCCCTTCTCAGACAAAATAGTATTAGAAACCTCATCCTCCAGGTAGAGACTAACAGGTCTGTTACAAGTTTCCATCTGGACAAATACTTTCTCATTAACACCCACATGAAACACATTTGGGGCTGAGATGATGAATCTGCACACAAAAATGAAAGATAGTGTTTGCTGCATCATTCATTAATCTATTTCCCATTAAATGATTTTTCGATAACTATGCAATCTGCAGTGCTGCATGTTCAGTATTATCTACAACATGAACTCAAGTTGAGTCTTAGGAAAGATATATGGGAATACTAATACATGTAATTTATTTAATCTATAATGTCAATCTTCTATATAACAATAATAAATGAGTCAACATCGCATTAAAACATCACATTTAGTTCTTCCTAAATTTACCTGTTTTGCGCTGAACACTCCACGATCCATATTAGGAGCTGTATCACAAAAATGTGGCACATCATCGCGCTGCTTTGATTTCTTTGCCTGCTTTGACACAGACTTTAGATTAACTGAGGTTTTGTTAGTCATCCACCCCTGTATTTCACAACATTTGGATCTTATCACTGCCCTCCCCCTGGTTTGTTTTTCCAGCTTGAGCTGAAAAAACATCTATTGCATCTTAAAGTGATAAAACTACATGACACTCAAGACATAATATGATAACAGTTTAATACTACTAGATGTAGCATGTGTCCTGATGTGCGCAGATGTGTAACGTACATGTGATTTCCATAGTGTGAACATTTTGGTGTTAAAAATATACTTAATCTGTACAGATTTACATAAAACATAGATTTTAATTTTGCATATTACAATAGACTCTCAGGCCAACATTTCTGAGCACAAGATGTTTAATTTAAAAAAATCCTTTTTATATCCCTGCTTGGCTTGCTGCCTGGAAAGTGTTTATTCCTTTCTTTCACAATGTGTAACCATCTCAGTTCAAGCCAGATTTCCTGCATGTGATTTACAAGAAATCAAGTTCCCCCTCCCATACCTGTCACACTAAACAAATGGTTTATAAATGATTTACAAATAATCAGTTATGTTCATCATTATTCTTGGTAACAGCAGCTTCTTTTCTTTGAGCAAATCAGAGTATTTTTAATCTCCTATTAATAATAACTAAAGTGTCCCATTTAACACTGTACATGATCCATATTTGTGTATTGATCGTTCCCCTTTAAACAGCCAGTCTTTTGCAAATTGAGTGGCTCTGGTAATAATGACAAAGACTGAGATGATATCTAAAATTTTATTTTTCTACACAAACAGCTTGATAAAAGAAAATATTTCATTCATTATATATTTTCTAAGTCAGCAAAGCACATTGTGACATTTTATGTTAAACATCATTATTATAGTTATTAGATCAATTTAAGCTTAAAACATACGAACAATGGAATTAAATTAAAAGTTCAACTTAACATTAATGCAGCATTATATTCACTCGCACAAACGACTCTTGTGGAAATATAAACACAAACATCCATGTAAATATTGAATACCTTAATTCCGATTAAATTTGTCAGGTTAGTATAATGTTCTCCTAAAAACAAATTATTAACACAGACTTCTATACAGATTTGTAAAAGAAAAGAAAAAGTAAACCCCACAATAATTACATGATATGCCACAGTCCTGCCTCTGAAGACTTAACTGAAATTACCAAAAGTGACTTTAATTTGAGAACCAAGTTCTTGTGGTTGTTATAACTCTAAATAAAAATGCCAATAAAGTTCAAATATAACATGACTATCACTTGAACCATTATAGCAAATGCCTTAATGGTCCACTTGAAAAAGTAAATCTTTTGGGCATTTTTTGGCCTTTAGAGTTCATTATTTGTTTTCACTTGCTCTAACTATACATGCCATGACTGGTTAACTTCGTGAGATGGAGAGTCATCCAGAACAGAGCAGGAGAACAGTTACCATGAAGTCAAGTCTTTGGACAGTCAGTTAATTCCTCTGTTGACTTCTGCGCTATTGCAGGAGGTAGAGAATGAGAGTTGGGAGCATGATGTCCAGCCACAACTCCTGGATATGGATATTAAATACAAGAATTGCGTTTGGACAATCAACACCAGACTCCCTGTCAAGTTTTGGTTGAACAGTCACAGCAACCTTTAGGCTTGGGATTCAGTCCTGCAGTGGATGGTTTGATAAAATACCCTGGAAGATTAATTGAAACACATAGAAAAATAGCTATGATAAAATGTGCAGAGTTCTTTCAAAAATTTGTAGCCTGTCAGCAGACTGATAATTAAAATATAAGCCATGGGTAGAAATGTGGTATTGAACTCTCAAATGCTTCAAAAATGTTTAAATATTCATTTTTTTAAAAATCTGTGAACCAGCTTATTAATGAGTTAAAGTGAAAAAATTAATTATTCCAATACTTACATAATGCACCATCAACAATATAGTAATTATAGTCCCAGCGAAGTTGTTATTAATCATGTATCCATATGCACATGGAACATTAAGCTATTTTTTTCTTACTTTTTGAGGGTGTTTTTAATAAATATTTCTAAGTCCGCTTTCCTCTGCATCCATCTTCCACTACTTCTCGTTCATTTTGCCTGTCCCTTGTCCCCCTCTCTGTCTCTTCACCGATGTCCATCTCATTTCATGCAGGAGTGAGGTTACCTAAGAGACTGGGCTTCAATGAAGAAAATCTCCTTTTCTACAATTAACTGTGAAAGTGACAGAAGGGTGGGATCTGCATAGGGCTCCACACTAACATAAGGTATGGAGAGAGAGGAAAGATAGGGCAGTCAAAGGCAGGTAGTAAGACATGAAGACGTGAAATTTTCTTAAATTTGAAAATCAAAAATATTGCCCAAATTGAAGTGTGTTTGCTGACCACATCTATGGATGAATTTTGGATAAACCTTGCACTACTTTGCAGAGATTGCATTGACTAATTGCAATGTTTAGTTGCTATTTTAGATTTATTGAACATTATATGTATAGTTTTTAGACTAAATCACTAGATATATTTTTTGTTGTGTTACTTTCCACACACTCAGATTGCTTTGTAAGTTTCACATCTCACACTTGAATTGGGATTAGGCCAAATTAGGTTGCATTGCACTGATCGCAGTGGAAATGCATCATGTTTCACCATAATCTCTTAAAATTCAGAGGGAGTGACCAGTGGTTTAGGATGGAGAGATTTGCACAAAAGGGTGTGGCGTGGGAATGTTGCCAAAGGTCAGGAGTGAGGGTGAAAGGTCAGGGGTCAGAGCCAGCTGGACAGCACACAAGAGGAGATGAGGGTGAGAAAAGGAGGGGAGGGAGTAGTCCACAGACTGATTGACTGACTGCGCCCTATTGGAACATTAACATTGAACTGATGGGAGACTCACTGACCAATGGCTGATCAGGGAAAACCTGTGACACACTTGTGTAATGATCCGTAGAATTGAGAAGTGACATGATTTTCATCTTGGATGCAAAAGCAGTTAAAAAAGATATAGCAGTGAATTTCAAGCTGCTATTTACTGACTTTATGGAGTTGTTGAAATCCACACTGCAAATGTTCTTAGATACTAATAAAACATAAACCAGTGCTAACATTCTAGAATGGTATTAGAAAATGTAATATTTGCAAATGAATGCATGTTTTCTATAATTTAGTAGTTTAGCTGCTCATCGTGGTGCATGCCTAATATCACTATTTGATTTTTAATGTTTTTTAATTGACAGTAGATATAATAAATTATAGTATCAAGCACATGATATTTCCTGTGTTGTATGGTTTCATTTGTGATATCAAGGAGCTATATAAGGAGATATAATCATTTATAAATTGATAAAGAATAACACAGGTATTTGGAGGGATTATTTATTTACTTAAAAAAATAAGACATTTTGTTATGTATATAAAAACAGATAAACATACAAAACATACTATTTTGTATCAACTTCTTTGACATATGCAATTCTGCTATAGATAAAATTTATATACAGTTTATCATATTGAATAAGGCTTCATCATGTCCTGCTTCCATGGTTTATCAATTCTCTGTGTACCTCAAGGGTAAAGGAAGGAGGGTGAACGTCTGTATTGTCCGGCAGCCTCGCCTCTGTCAGTGCGCCCCAGGGTGGCTGTGGCTACATTGTAGCTTGCCATCACGAGTGTGTGAATGGGTGGATGACTAGATGTGTAAAGCGCTTTGAGGTCCTTAGGGACTAGTAAAGCGCTATACAAATACAGGCCATTTACCATTTACTTTCTTTTCCTCTTGTTCGGCCGGCTGGGTGAGGGATTAAACGATGCCTGCTCTTGTAAATGACACATGTAGAAAATGTCATATTCATTAAATGCAAAGATTAAAAAACATTTTCATATCTATTTAAATTCAATATTAACAACAGAGGAGGCAGCTGTATTTCAACAGAGATATGATGTCATAACTTAGCATTGAAACAATCAGGATCACGGCCCCCAAGGTTCACTGGATTGATGGTGTAACTGAACACAGCATGAATTTTAAACCAAGGGGTGCACATGTCAGTATAGGAAAATGTGTTAATTTTTTCATACAGCACAATGAAAATGTTAACATTTGCATTACATTAAGAGGCACTGGCCCTCATTCATCCAGCACATGTGTTGCAGATAAAATTCAGTTTTTCTGTCTCGGGCAAACCTACCCACTGCTGCCCCCCAGTGGCCTCCATGGCACCACTAACAGCACTGCCATAATCCCTTTGAGGTCCTTCTCCTGGTAACCAGTTCTGGTAACAGCTAGACGTTGACCTAATCCAGAACCAAAAATTAAATTGAACAGTGTAGCGTAGACCCAGCCACACATAGGATGATGTAGCATTCTTTGCCTTTTGAGCAACCTGGTCCTGTATGTTTTTGGTCTTAATGTCAACAAGATCAAAATAATGTTTCCTGCAGTAACTCAGAGCTTCAATCCATGTCATGTTTTCTTGAATTAATATCATGTTTCCTTCTGGAAGAAAACGTGAAGAGAATTACTTAATTGCATAATATGTAATGCAAAACAAAATCAAAGATGTGAAATTTTAAACATACCTGGGTGCAAATTTTGACTGATTACACTGGCCGTTACGATTGAGGAATGTGTGGTGTTCTGGGCTAAAGTCCCTATGTATGCTGTAGTGTTTGGGGTTGAAGTCTCTATGTATGCTGTAGTGTTTGGGGTTGAAGTCTCTATGTATGCTGTAGTGTTTGGGGTTGAAGTCTCTATGTATGCTGTAGTGTTTGGGGTTGAAGTCCCTATGTATGCTGTAGTGTTTGGGGTTGAAGTCTCTATGTATGCTGTAGTGTTTGGAGTTGAAGTCTCTATGTATGCTGTAGTGTTTGGAGTTGAAGTCTCTATGTATGCTGTAGTGTTTGGGGTTGAAGTCTCTATGTATGCTGTAGTGTTTGGGGTTGAAGTCCCTATGTATGCTGTAGTGTTTGGGGTTGAAGTCCCTATGTATGCTGTAGTGTTTGGAGTTGAAGTCTCTATGTATGCTGTAGTGTTTGGGGTTGAAGTCTCTATGTATGCTGTAGTGTTTGGGGTTGAAGTCTCTATGTATGCTGTAGTGTTTGGGGTTGAAGTCCCTATGTATGCTGTAGTGTTTGGGGTTGAAGTCCCTATGTATGCTGTAGTGTTTGGAGTTGAAGTCTCTATGTATGCTGTAGTGTTTGGAGTTGAAGTCTCTATGTATGCTGTAGTGTTTGGGGTTGAAGTCTCTATGTATGCTGTAGTGTTTGGGGCTGAAGTCCCTATGTATGCTGTAGTGTTTGGGGTTGAAGTCTCTATGTATGCTGTAGTGTTCGGGGTTGAAGTCCCTATGTATGCTGTAGTGTTTGGGGTTGAAGTCTCTATGTATGCTGTAGTGTTTGGGGTTGAAGTCTCTATGTATGCTGTAGTGTTTGGGGTTGAAATCTCTATGTATGCTGTAGTGTTTGGGGTTGAAGTCTCTATGTATGCTGTAGTGTTTGGGGTTGAAATCCCTATGTATGCTGTAGTGTTCTGGAGTGAAGTCCCTATGTGTGCTGTAATGTTCTGGGGTGAAGTCCCTATGTATGCTGTAGTGTTTGGGGTTGAAGTCTCTATGTATGCTGTAGTGTTTGGGGTTGAAGTCTCTATGTATGCTGTAGTGTTTGGGGCTGAAGTCCTGATGTATGCTGTAGTGTTTGGGGTTGAAGTCCCTATGTATGCTGTAGTGTTTGGGGTTGAAGTCTCTATGTATGCTGTAGTGTTTGGGGTTGAAGTCTCTATGTATGCTGTAGTGTTTGGGGTTGAAATCCCTATGTATGCTGTAGTGTTCTGGAGTGAAGTCCCTATGTGTGCTGTAATGTTTGGGGTTGAAGTCCCTATGTATGCTGTAGTGTTTGGGGTTGAAGTCTCTATGTATGCTGTAGTGTTTGGGGTTGAAGTCCCTATGTGTGCAGTAGTGTTTGGGGTTGAAGTCTCTATGTATGCTGTAGTGTTCTGGAGTGAAGTCCCTATGTGTGCTGTAATGTTTGGGGCTGAAGTCCCTATGTATGCTCTAGTGTTCTGGAGTGAAGTCCCTATGTGTGCAGTAGTGTTTGGGGTTGAAGTCTCTATGTATGCTGTAGTGTTCTGGGCTGAAGTCTCTATGTATGCTGTAGTGTTCTGGGCTGAAGTCCCTATGTATGCTGTAGTGTTTGGGGTTGAAGTCTCTATGTATGCAGTAGTGTTTGGGGTTGAAGTCCCTATGTATGCAGTAGTGTTTGGGGTTGAAGTCTCTATGTATGCAGTAGTGTTTGGAGTTGAAGTCTCTATGTATGCTGTAGTGTTTGGGGTTGAAGTCTCTATGTATGCTGTAGTGTTTGGGGTTGAAGTCTCTATGTATGCTGTAGTGTTTGGGGTTGAAGTCTCTATGTATGCTGTAGTGTTCTGGGCTGAAGTCCCTATGTATGCTGTAGTGTTTGGGGTTGAAGTCCCTATGTATGTTGTAGTGTTTGGGGTTGAAGTCTCTATGTATGCTGTAGTGTTTGGGCTGAAGTCCCTATGTATGCTGTAGTGTTTGGGGTTGAAGTCTCTATGTATGTTGTAGTGTTTGGGGTTGAAGTCTCTATGTATGCTGTAGTGTTCTGGAGTGAAGTCCCTATGTATGCTGTAGTGTTTGGGGTTGAAGTCTCTATGTATGCTGTAGTGTTTGGGGTTGAAATCTCTATGTATGCTGTAGTGTTCTGGAGTGAAGTCCCTATGTGTGCTGTAGTGTTTGGGGTTGAAGTCTCTATGTATGCTGTAGTGTTCTGGGCTGAAGTCTCTTTCTGTATTGTAGTGTTCTGGGATGAAATCTCTATATGTTCTGTAGTGTTTGGGACTGAAATCCCTGTCTGTGTTGTTGAGATCTGGGCTGAAATTCCTCCCGGGGTTTTTAATATAGAGTCACCACCTGTAGTTAAATTCACAGTAGTTGCAGGAGGTGGCTGTGTCAAAGATGACATTTCTGTAGTTGTACTTTGGAGATGAGTACTTGATGTAGGTGACATAAACTCTGTGGTATTTGGTGTTCTCACTCCACCTGCAGCTGTTCCTTCTGTTGTGGTAATGGTGCTTGACTGTTTGGTAGCAGCAGCTGCAATCAAATTAATTTGAAGTACATTTGTCTCAATTACAGGTCACTGTCTATTGTGAATGGCAGTGTTGAAAATGATTTCCCTGATGTAAAAGTGAGTAATGAGTGGACAGATATAGATTGTTGTGTCTTGTGTAATAGAAAACAAAAAGTTATAATATAATTTTGCTGACATAGTAAATACATACAATTTATAAATAAATAACACAAACTTACCCCCATGGCAAACAAAATTGAGTTGGTTACTGCAGCTTTGCTTATTCCACTTCCCATTATCTTGAAATACTGCAGCAACACAATCCTGATTTGGAAGATAGCTGGGCTGAGAAGCTCTCCAGAAACGAAAAGATGAGTTACTTCCATCCGACCATTTCCAGGGATCTTTGAACAGCCCAATCCAGACAGTTTGTGATGCAGACACGTTGAGCACTGCCATATTCTCTGCTTCAGAGTGTATGCTAACTAGATCAGATGGCAAGCCCCTGCAATGACTCTGAGCATCCCACCACGATTTGGACTCATTAACAAAAATGAAATCACCAGTATGTGTCCCTGTAATGTAATTAAATGTATTATTATTAGTATTATTGTTATTATTGATCTCTGAAATAAATTATTGTAATTTTACTTACCTTGACAAACAAACTTTCTTAGAACTCCACAGGCACTGACAAACCACCCACCAAATTGATCCAATGCTGCACATTCTTCTTGATTATTCGTTATTACTTCTCCTGATTTCCACTTAAAAAAATCTGTTAATTGACCAGGCAAAGACCAATGCCACATCCACACAGCTCCGATCTCCAGTCCTATCCAAGTGTTTTCAGTTATATTTGAAGCTAAAGAAACCAGATTATTCATATCTTCTAAGTTGTAAATTGTTGCTAAATCAGTGTACATATCTCTGCAATAACTCTTGGCTTGTGTGTAGTTCTCAGTGAGAGTAATATGGTGAAAGTCTGAAGATCCCAGTGTGAAAAAGCAAAAAACTGTGGAAGTACAGAAAAAATATTTCTTTTTCATCATGTTATGTTTAATCAAACGTTATATAGCTAAATTTATATAAATTGTAAATACAAATGTATCATACTAACCTGACAAAAAAGTCAAATAAGCAGCAGAGGTCCTTTTCATCGTGGTTAGTCTATTGTTTTCAGTCATGATGACAAACTGCAAAGCAACAAGCCAAAAGATGTTACACATATAATACTGCTCACCATATTGCTCTGTTCTGATCAGCTGCTGCTCCTATAAGGTGCAAGCAGTTTCAGGCAGCACAGTGTTTGCAGGAGGAATGCCACCTGGCTTGTTAACAGCCACCTTCTCACCAACTAACAAAAAGCAAAGCAGTTTTTCAAGTTTATTTTGATTGCCTGCATACTGTAGGCCATATGAGTTTTCTTGTTTGTTGAGATGAATTTATATGAGAATATTCACCAGGTAGGTCTAGAATGCAGGTGTCAATGTCTAGTTGTTCTAACTGAAATAAAACAAATTTGTTTTGCTTGTAAAATGTCCTGCAAATGGTACAAAATAAACTGAACCTCAGCTTTTGAGGTTTTAGGAGGCAGTGCAACTAATTCATGAGAACAAAAGTGCAAGTCATTCTCCAGCCCAGGAGAAAAAACGTTGGACAAAAATGGTCTTTAGAAGAACAGAACACTGTGTTCAATATTTTGAATAGTGGAAAATATTACTGCACAAATAAATCACTGGTGCAAGAACAAGTTGTGCAATACTGTATATACCCCTTCCTTCTGTCAAAGGGAAAACATTCCAACTCTTTTTGTAGGTGTGGCTGTTTAAAACAGCTTGCTCAGATTCTTAAATAATAGCATGCCATAATTGGGCTACGCGAAAACACACACAGTTTCTGGCTGAATTTACTACTGTTTACTTACATTTTTGTTTACCACTCCCCCTATCATACCCAAAACAATCACTCGCTTGTATTTGTGCAGGTATGAAATGTTCAGTGTTTCTTGAACGCATCACGGATGGCCTTTTGATGTCGTGTATTTTTGGAGCGTAGTGTGCTGAATTTGATAACAGTATATATTGAGAAGATAGATATTATTTAAACTCAAATACTGCATACAATTGTGACGCGATAATCGCCAACCAAATTAGCTGTGATTAAATACTAAATCAAGCTGAACCTCTGCAGCGGGGGTGTCATATGACGGTGCTGTTATGGGTGGTCCCGTGGGACATTTTGGCTCAAGTCGATTGTAGCACTGAGCCATCATGGCCTGTAAACAACAACAGCTTCTGACCGAAGCAAACTGTGTCTGAGACTCGGCCTTTATCTAGAAGTGATTCTCAACAATGCTTCGAAGGTGTGTCTGGTATGTAATTCCAATCTTCCAACAACCATGAGGTAGTTGTGAACAGTCGCTTCCTTGGGGTATTACCCCTGAATCTAGCATCGAGCTAATGTTGGCTATATTAGCCGTAAATTAAGCTAACAAGCTAATCTTAGCAAATGCAGGTCGAGCGGATTCATTTGCGGACTGTCGATTATTATGCAACATTTTTAGATGCGAAACAAGGTCTGTTTGCTATATCCCAGTTTTACAAAAAACTACAGAAGGTAGTATCACTTAGACGTGTGAAAACCAAAGCTAATGTTTGCTAATGTTGTTGTATAGCATGGATCTTTGAAGCCGAAGATTTGCAGCTAACGAGCTATCGATAAAGGCAAACTCCGACATTGTGTATTTGTCGTAATTAGTTAGGCGTTGTAGTTTTTACAGAATACGGACAATGTATTTGCTTTTTGTTCTAGTAAGGTCTGGTATGTACTTAATAGTGACTCGGCGGTAGCGCTGCTGCGTACCTTTAGCAACATTTTGGCAAACATGAAACGCTAACGCACACTGATTAATGTAAGCAAATATTTGTACGTACAAACATTACCTGCCACGAGAATTATTTCCCTTTTATTTGTCCAGTTTTTTGAGGAGGGGTGATTTGCTTGTTTGTTTGTTTTTTTGGGGGGAAGATTTTTGAGTTCAACTTAGCTAAATAAACGGACCTTTTTATGTTCAGTGATTTATGGTTATAGATTTGTACGTGGCCAGCTAACTCTATGGGTAGAAATCTGTGCCATCAGAAACTAAATTTGAATTGCTCAGATTGAATCTGAATTGTAACTTGAATAAATGCTTTTGAAAACTGAATTTGAATTAGTATAATTTGAAATTGAATTTATAGTTTGAAAATGATCATCACTAAATTGAAATTGCATTTTATATTTTGAAAATTAATTGATTTGCTTTGAAACGGCATTTTATCCTTTAAAAATTCAGCTCTCGAATAATTTCAGATTCACTTTTCACCATTCAGTTTTCAGGTCTACAATTCAATTTCAGTTCCAAAATTCAGTTTTTTGAAACTTACATCCGGTTCCGGTTCAAGAGCAGATTAATAGAACTACGTTTTACTAGCGGACCCAAAGTGTTACTGACGGGAATCTACAGCGTCTTGAGCTTGTCAAACATAGTAATGGAGCAGTATGTTTAAAAAAAAAAAAAAAAAAAATCTAATTAAGCATGCACTCAGTACCCTAAGAATTATTATGGTAGTTAAACACAGTGATAGTTTTATATCATATTATATCACTTCAAACAGAGGTGATCCAGTAATGCTGCACTAATGAATTAGACTAACTATTCACTTTAGCTAAAGAGTTGGGATGCTGTGTAAGACATAAATAAAGCTAAAATACAAAGGTTTGGACACCGTTTTGCATGTTTCCCTACTGTAGGGGTCTCTGCAAGCATACAGAGGGGGTACTCTGAGAGGGTACAAGATGACAACTTTGGAATTCTACTAGAAACAGTCGATCATATTTGTTTGTCAAAGCTGAATCCAGGGCAAACTACGCTAAATTAGCGTTTTTAGCTAGCAGCTACAATAAGCATAAAAGTTACCTTACGGCAATCATTTGTTAACATGAAGCTTGTTCTTATACATGTAATACATTTATTACCAACCTGAGAGTTCATCCGCTGGTCATTCGATATGACGAATGACTTCTGAAGTCTTAATTCAGCTCAAGACGCTGTAGATTCCCGTCAGTAACACTTTCGGTCCGCTAGTAAAACGTAGTTCTATTAATCTGCTCTTTAACCGGAACCGGATGTAAGTTCCAAAAAACTGAATTTTGGAACTGAAATTGAATTGTAGACCTGAAACTGAATGGTGAGAAGTGAATCTGAAATTATTCGAGAGCTGAATTTTTAAAGGATAAAATGCAGTTTCAAAGCAAATCAATTCATTTTCAAAATATAAAATTCAATTTCAATTTAGTGATGATCATTTTCAAACCATAAATTCAATTTCAAATTAGACTAATTCAAATTCAGTTTTCAAAAGCATTTATTCAAGTTACAATTCAGATTCGATCTGAGCAATTCAAATTTAATTTATTCAAATTTAGTTTCTGATGGCACAGATTTCTGCCCATATAACTCACTTATGGAAAATTGGTTTCTCTGCCACTTAATGCAATCGCAGCTATAAGACTTCCACTACTTTATTTCTGAAATGGGAGAAATAATGATGTAATCTTGGCAAACTCTCAACATTTGAGAACTGAAAGACACCAAATGTGTAATGATTAACAAAATACACCCCCCCCCCCCCCCCCCCCCCCCCCGTTTTTTCCTTTTTTTTTTTTTTTTTTGAGAAGTTGCAACCAAATCATGTTTGGCAACTTTAGCTCAAAATAATAATTGTCAAAGTCAGTCTCTGTTATCTTTTAATCAAGATCGATCAGAAAGGTTTCCATAGCTTATTATATTCCTTTTTTTTATTTTTTTATCACTTTCAGATTGATATCCTTCGAACGGGACGTTTTTCTTTTCAGCGGGCAGCTTACAAGCCATGTCCTCACAGCAACCTAACAGCTCAGCCTCCAACAGCCCCACCAGCATCTTAGGATCTCCGTTTTCAGTCATCAGTCCCTCACTTAACTCCCCAGTGGTGCCACACTCTCTGGGATTTGGACCCATCAGCAACAGTCAGGTAATTCATATGCATGAGGGTGTATGTATTGTACTGATGTCACAGTGCACTTAACTCTTATTTTTAATTTTGTAGCCTGAGAGCCATGATGCTTGTTTAAACTGGGCCGAATATACACAGCCACTTAAGGTACACTGTAGTGGGGAAAAAACAAACACTTTACTGACTATTTACATTACTCCACTTATAGAGGCAGGCATTTTTGAATAATGGCTCCTAACAGAAGGCGTTGTAAGCAAAAATTGTCACAGTTAGTGCTAATAACAAAAGGGCATTTGATTATGAAAATATTTCTGTATTTATGTGAAAAAATGAAAATAACTAAGAAATAGTGTCTGTCATAAGCTGTGTAGGATGCACCGCTGGATATTGCAGAGTAAAAGTTGTTAAATCAGTAGCTGTGACTCTTAGTATTTCGCTGTTCACATGACTTATGCCATATTATGTGGAAAAATCAGAACAACATAAGATACCTTAATTAGTAGATATACATGAATAGGTGATGGTGAGAAACTCAAAGTTATAGTGTGAACTCAAAATTTGGAGGTTTTTAGTGTAGCACATGATCAATTTCATCTAGAAACAGCCATCAGGTTTTTGTCATCCATTTGGGGTATACGTGTTTTTTTTTCCCAGTGACCAGAGCTAAATATCCACACTAATTATCCCAGTTTAAATGCACTCACAAAAGTAAGAATGAGTCTCGTATCAATTTGCCTTCTTGTGGATATAATTTAGATATTTGAAGATATTTTTGAAGGAATAAACAGTGTTTTTTGTTTTGTTTTTGGGTTTTTTCTTTGCCCAATTTATGACAGCCCTAGCCTCCGGTTATTCAAATTGGTGGAAAATACTGTCTGGCAATTACATACAAATAATGACATTGTTACATTGTTTCCCTTGTTTTATTTGGTTGCAATCGTACCCAGATTTCATCGTCAGCGCCTATATCAGGGATGCACTCTGTCAGCAGCTCAGAAGACATCAAGCCTCCGTTTGGCCTGAGGCCCATGCAGGCTCACAGCCCGGGAATAATGTTGTCTCAGAAACGACTGTGTGTCATCTGTGGGGACCGCTCTTCTGGTGAGTGAACTTAATCAGCACAAGGTAAAGGACAGAAGTGAAACATCAGCCAACGAATATTTCAACCCATGATAACACTTTCATGTAGTGGATCTTACTTATTACGAATGATAGCAAAAAGTTTCCCCAACTCATACATGCAGGTTGATGTT